TTTCCAAACGCATGCCCGGTGTGATGGGATCCCAAATACACGTGTTCAGTTGGGTTTAGAGGACAGCAAACCCTGGAGGGAGGGGAGGACAGTCGGGACATTTTCTTTAAATCTTCCTTTTATTTATACGGCGTGACTTTTTAAATGCGTTAAGTGCTGTTCAAAGGTGCCTGGAGCTGAGACGAACAGCCCGGGGCACCCGAGAGCCTCTCTGCACACTGCCTGCTGAACTGACCACGGCGTGTGCTCACGTACAACATGGGCCCCCACGGTCGGAGGCTGTGCTCGCTGGAGAGAGGGTTCTAGACGGGTTGGTGGATGTCTTCTGCAAAGGGCGGGAGAGCCCACACTTTAGGTCCTCTGACACCATCGCTCGGGTCTGCCCACGCAGCGTGGGAGTATCCACAGACGACAATGAAGGAAGGAACGGGGCTGTGCTCCAATAAAACTTTATTGACAAAAACAGGCAGTGGCAGGGCTTGCCCACCTCTGGCCAAGACAAGCAAGTGACCTTCATTTGGAGAAACTGATGGCACTGATGCTCAGACACCCCAAAGGGATAAAGAAACAGTAGAATACATCTGTCTTCTCCACTCATGTTCTAAGATTAAAGAAATACTGTACGGGAAAACAGTGTGGCCGTTCCTCAAAAGATTAAACAGAACTACCGTATGATCCAGCAATCCCACTTCTGAGTATTTACCCAAAGAAAACGAACACACTGACTGGAAAAGGTATCTGCACCCCACGTGCACCGCAGCATTGTCCACAGTAGCGGGGACACGGAAGCAGCCCAAGCGATGGACTGATGGATGAAGAAGAGGTGGGGTGTATATCACGGAATATCACTCAGCCTCTTCCACGAGAATGAAAGCTTGCCATTTGCAAGGAAGCTACAGAGGATAATGCAAAGTCAGAGAAAGACAAATGCCCTATCATCTCATGTGTGGAATCTAAACAACACAAAACCAAGCCCTGAGCCCGTAGATGCAGAGCACAGCCTGGGGGCAGGGGCAGGGGATGAGGGGTCACACGGTGCAAACATCCCGTTATAAAATAAGTAAGTCGGGGTTAACGTACAGCGCGGCAATGCCAGTTGGTGAGGCCGCGTGTCGCGTCTGGACGTTGCTCAGTGGCACGCACACACAGATTCTCTAACCATGTGTGGGGGCAGGGGCCAACTAGACTTGGTGTGGTCACTTGCAAAGTGTACAAATGAGTTGCCACGTTGCGTGCACTGTATGTCAATTATACCTAAATGACAACACAGAAATGCTTACAAATGGGGCACAATGTTTAGTGGGTCCCGTGGCCCTCGAAGGAAAAGGGGGTGGGAATGGTGGGGTGCAAGGAGGTGTAGCCACTTGAGGGGCCGCAGGCTGCGCGTCAGGCCTCAGGCCAGCTGCCTGGTGCAGGTTGAACACAAAAAGGAGGCGGTCGTGCGGGATGGGTAAGGGGGGCACGTGCAGGCTTGGGCAGGGCGAGCAGGGCTGAAAGCCCGGAAACCCGCTCGGACTGGGCGTCCCCGCCCGCGAGGGTGCTCGTGCCTGACACACGCAGAGTCTGCACGCACCGGGCCCCTGGTGTTAGCGGCTGGACCCCGGGAAGAAGCAGCACCACACGGCTGGCAGAGGAGGCCTGGGGGGAAGGCGTGCGGGGGCTCACTTCTCCTGTACAGTTGTTACATGGCTCAAATTCTCTTCGATGAGCAACCTGTCCACAGATCTCCACACTCTCCTCTCAGGTATCAGCTACAAAAGTGAGACACAAACCTAAGTCCTCAAGAACAAAATAAAGCAAAACAAACTATACCAACAGAGTGAGCCGCTCACGTCTTTCCCGCCCCGTCCCATCCCCCTCTAGAAGGACCTGTCATTGCCATTTTGGTGTGTGCTTCTCGAGAATTTTTCTTACACAGTTACCCAAAAAATATTTTTACTTGGAGAAACATGTGGTTAGATTTTTAAGAGTTTAATGTTCACATACACGAAACCATGCTTGGCACACTGTTGTGGGATTTTCTTCCAGATGCAAGATGCAGAGACACGTCCCAGCCGGTGCCCCATGGCTCACAGAGGCTCTGCCCTTTGTCTGAGGGCTCCTATCAGACTTTCTGTAACCACTGACCCCAAGCTCACTCCAGTTCCTTGCTGTGACACAAACTGCGCTAAGAACAGCCTCCTGGAATCCTCTTCGTGTGCAAGTATTTCACTAAGCACGCCGTAAAGTGGGGCCAGGAGGGACACACGTGTTCTATGTGGAGGCTGCTATTTGGTCTCTGCACAGAGGATGGGAGTCCGCACTCACCACCAGCTTCCCACACTGGAGAACATTCTCTTCTTAACTTCTGCAAATCTGATGGGCAAACGCTTGCTTCATTTCTATTTTCCTCTCACTTCCTTGATTACTAGTGAGGTCCATGAAATCTCAGTGTATTTTCTTGGACTCCCCCTAATCACGTCTTCCATCCGTTTCTCTGTTAGCTTGTTTGACCTTAAGGGATCGCAACGCCCTCTGCGTGCTTGCGATCTTCACTGGGATGGTTGCCGTCCGTGTGTGTGTGTGTGTGTGCGTGTGCGCGTGTGTGCGTGTGCGTGTGGATTCCCTCCCAGTCTGTCTTGTTCTGCAGAATGTGCTGAATGACAACATCTCCCCTCCTCCTGGAGGCTCTGCTGAGGCCCTATTGGTCGTCCACGTGTTTTCAGGATAGACTGTGGGCCCGACCTCCAGGTGCCCGCCCCCTGAGGTGGCCCTTGTCGGAGGGGAGGGACCCCGAGGCCCAGCACAGAGGGAGCGACCCCAGTGGTGTGAGACTGTGTCTCTGGGACTTGGGAAGCTCGGGCCCAGTTGCTGGCTTCCCCTGGGCGGACAGAGGGCCAGAGCGATGGGGTGTCCTCTCCATGGCAGGAGGGAGGGGATCTAATTTTCCTTCCCTCCTGACCAGAAGCCAGAGGCTGCATGGTGAGTCGGGTTTGGAGATTTGGCTCCCGGAGCAGATGGAGCCTGCCACGGTGTTGGGAAGCAGCATAGGGAACACAGGTCAGTTCTCCACCACCCAGCATCTGGGGCCAAGTGGCTTCTTTCATGGCTGGCTCCCCATGGCCCAGGACTGCAGGCTTTCACCTGCTGAAGTGAGCCTGTTGTGTTTCTCCTCTTCTGACTTCTGGAGTCTGGACCTTGCTGAAGAGGAGGTCTTCCTACCCCAAATTTATGGAAATAATTTCCCACCATTCTCCTCACCACACGACCTTCCTTGGCTTCTTTGTGCCATGTGGAAAGCTTGCTGCACATGTGGAGTGTGGGAACAAGTCCAGGCTTTCCCAGGGGTACTCAGTGGTCCCAAGCCGCTGACCGCGTTCTTCATGCTTTCCTTCTTCTTCTGAGGCGCCCCTTCGATCCTTCCAGGTAAAGGTTCACTGGAGACCTCTCCCCAAATCTACTCAGTCCGGCTCAGTCCACGCGCCCTGTTTTAACTGTTCCACCTTCTCAGTGTATTTCCACATCTGCTAGTGATCCTCCCTTCACGTTCATGATAGCAGAGGCACCCTGGCTGTCTGCTTACGTTTCTTCTTCCAGCGGTGGAAGCAGCTTGGAGACTGTCACTTCCATCAGCATTCCTGCTGGGACTCTGGTCGCTTCGCAGGGGACAGAGTGGACCAGCTTTCCCTGGGAGTGGAGCCTGAGATGGGCAGAGGTGAGCACGTGCATCAGGGATGTGAGTCCAGCAAGCCAAAGGGAGGTGAGGGGAGCAGTGAAGAGGCACTGGAAAACCCGGCTACATGCAGGTCATCACACTTGTCAGCACCTGCCATCACCAGACTTTAAATTCTGGACATGCTGAGGATCCTGGGTGGCTCAGTCGGTGAAGTGTATGACTCTTGATTTCGGCTCAGGTCATGATCTCAGGGTTATGGGATCAAGCCCCTGAGCACAGAGTCTGCTTGTCCCTCTCCCTTGCTCCTCCCCCTGCTCTCTCTCAAATAAATAAATAAATAAAATCTTTAAAAAAATTTCTGGTATTGATAAGTTGCATCTTATTCCTTTTTTTCTGGATCAGACTGGCTAGACATTAGTCGGTTGTTGCTCCTTTCAAAGAACCAGCCTTCAGGTTCTTTCATTTTTCCCTATTGCTACGCCATTTTTTATAGTTTGGATTTTGCCCTCCATTTTCTAGTTTCTTTGGGTAGAAGACAAGACCATTGTTTGGAGTCTTTTCGCCTTTTCCGATACAAGCATTCAATGCTATAAATTTCCCTGTAAGTAAGAAAGCCTGCTTTAATGGCTTTCCACGCACATTGATATGTTGTGTTAGTTCCCATCCATCTTTTTTTTTTTTTTTTTTTAGAATAACAAAAAATATTTTACTAAAACATAAGATTTACAGAAGTTTCCAGACAAGCCATACAAAATGGTCACAAGCTTTTTCTTGAAGGAAGGATTCTACACTTGACAGCAAGTCACAATGGTATTAGTGAGGGCTGTGATGTTTGTTTAATGTTCCCATTTTGGTTCAAACAATCAAGCTTGTCCATCTACAGCGTCTAAATAAAGTTAGACTTGGCTAGAGAGCATATTCTAAAGAACTGGTTAGCTGCTTTTAACCAATGCAATTAGATCACCATAAAAGGGGGGAAAGGAGCCCAAAAAATTAAAATAAAACTACCTCTCCCCCTCAAAAAAAGTAATAAAGAAAAACACCCACACCCCTGCAGCTAACCCTGACAACTACCTTCATTCACAGTGCTTTATACTCAAACCATGATGGGGAAATGAATAAAAGCAGAGAAGGGCCATTGCTTTTAAACGTTTCACAACAATCCGGATGGTACTTCTAGCCTCTGCTCATGCTTTACAACAGTGAATCAGGACAAGACATAGGTTTGCTAATGTGCATTTAATCACCAAAGGACTGAAGATGTCTGGGCTTTTATTCTGTAATGTTTCTAAGACTGTGTCCATTAAATGCAAACAAAAAAGGAAGAAGTCTTGGCAGAACAGGAGAACAGGAGAACTTGATGATCAGATCGATTTTAAATATTATTCATGGCATATAGCCTAGCCCATGCTCTAGCTGTTTCTATGGCTTGGGCTTCGTTGGTCTTCCACTGCTCCGCTACATCATTTGCTAATGGATCATCTGGATTGGGAGCACTTAACAAAGCCTGGATCGATAGCAGAACTGTGCGGATCTGCAGTGCTGGGGACCACTTATCTTTCAAAATATCTAAACATATTCTTCCCAACTTGTCTACATTAGGATGATAAATTTTGGTCATGAAACGTACTTTAGGGGCTGCCATCGGGTATTCTTCTGGTAGGAATAGTTCAAGCTTAAAAGTCCCTCCCTCAAAGGGGGAATCCTGGGGGCCAGCAATGACCACATGAAAATAACGGGCGTTGCTCTCATCTGGTTCTGCTTTAATGCCAGGAACTGGTTCTGCCAGCAAACGCTGGGTTTCCTTGATAATCCTGCGGGGCAGCCCGGCCATCTTGTCAGATCCCGAGTTCGGCCTCTGGTCTCGACTCCGGCTCCGCTCCAGTTCCCATCCATCTTAAGTATTTTCTACTCTTCCTTTTGAGTTCTTTGATAGGTGGCTTATTTAGAATTGTGCTGTTTAATTTCCAATTATTTGTGTGATTTCCCAGATGTCTTTGTTATTAAATCTTAGACTAATACCACTGTAGTCAGAACATATTTTCTATGACTTAAATCCTTTGAAATACATTGAGACTCATCTTATGCTCCAGAATATGGTTAATTTTGGTGCACATTCCATATGAACCTAAAAAAGATGCCTCTTCTGCTGATGTGTGGGGGAATGTTTTATAAATATAGATTAGATTAAATTGGTTGATGGTGTTGTCCAAATCTTCTGCATCCTTAATATTTTCTGCCTACTTTTCCTATCAATTATTGAAAGAGAAGTATTGATATCTCCAATCATGAATTTTATTTGTTTCTCCTTGTAGTTCTATAAATTTTTGCTTTGTGTATTTTGAAGCTCTGTTATTGAATGCATAGAGATTTAATACTGTTATCTGTTCTTGATTAACTCATCGTTATACGTGGTAAGGCTTAGTGATCAAATCTACTTTGACCAACATTAGTATAATCCTTCCAGCTTTCCTTTGATTATTGTCTGAATGATATTTCTTCTATCATTTATCCTCCCTTTCAATTACATTTAAAATAGGTTTCTCACAGACTGCATATACTTGAGTCTTGCTTTTTCTTTTTTAAGATTTATTTATTTTAGAGAGAGAGCATGAGAGAGCGGGGGGGTGCGGACAGAGGGAGAGGGGGAGAGAGAATCTCAAGCAGACTCCCTGTTGAGTGTGGAGCCCGACACAGGGTTCAATCCCAGGACCCTGAGATCCTGACCCTAGCTGAAATCAAGAGTCAGATCCTCAACCAACTGAGCCACCCAGGTGCCCCAAGTCTTGTTTTTCACACAATCTGACACTCTCTGCTGTTTGACCAGGACACTTGCACATGTACACATGCTGTGATTACCAATAAGGCTGCATTTAAATCTATGGTCTTATCTTTCATTTCCTACTTATCATAACAATGCATTATTCCTTTTTCCTCTTTTGGTATTCTTATTTTAATTATTTTAATATTGCATAATTTCTCCATTATTGGCTTATTACACTTGTCTTTTTATTTTCTTGGTGGCTGGTCTAATGTGTATAGTACACACTGTGATGTCACAGTTGGCCTTCACACAATGTTTGCAGGAACCTCCCATCCTCGTGCTGGCGTGTGCTCTCACCCTGCAGTCCTACAGAGGCCATGGGCACCACGGTACTTTGCCATTATTGTTTCTTTAAATGGTTTTTTCAGAAGGATATTTAAATGAGGAAAAAATATCTTTCATCTTCACCCAAATTGTTACTATTTTGAGCTTGATTGATCTCTTTACGTAGATCTGTGTTTCCATTTGAACGCTCCCAGCTCTTGTCTTTCACTTCAGTTTTGAGAGGTTCTCACTGGATATAGATTTCTAGGTTGCAGTTCTCCCCAGCTCCTTAAAGACGTTTTACTGTCTTTGGGCTTCATGGTCTCTGATAAGTGTGCAGCTGTTTTTGTCCCTCTGTGAGGAGTCTTGTTTCTTTGTGTTTTAGAGGTTTCCTCTATCTGATAATAATGTATTATATGGTTTCCTTTATATTCCTCCTGATTAAGGTTTGCTAAGCTTCTTGGCTTTGTGGATTTATTGTTTTCATCAAATATGGAAACATTTTGCCCATTATTTCTTCAACTGCTGTTTTTTCTCCACCCTCCCCCAGGGCAGCAGTGCGATTTATGACAGAATGCTGGATACGGTCCCACAACTCAGTGAGTTCCTTTTTTTTTTTTTTTTGATCTTTATTTATTTGATCTTTATTGTTATCTAGAAATTCCACTGGGGAATTATTTTGCAAGGTCTACTGAAGTAAAGTTCTATGAGTTTTATAAGCATATGTTGTCATGGAACTGCTACCATAATCAACACATAGAACAATTCTATCACCCGAAAGTATTCCTTCATGTCCCTTTCTAGGCAGCCCTGGCTCCCCACCCTCAGCTCCTAGCAACAGATCTTCTGTGCCCATAATTTGGACTTTTCCATAATGTCACAGCATTGGAATCATGAAGTATGAACTTTTCTGAGTGCAGGCTTCTATCATCAGTGTGGTGGATCTAGGATTCATTCATGTTTTCATGTGTATCACTTCTTTCCTATTTGCTGCTAAGTATTCCATTGTAAGAATGCACCATACTTGATTGATCCATTCCCCAGCTGAGGGACACACAGACTGTTTCCAGTGGTTGTTTTGTTTCAATTATAAATAAAGCCACCATAAACATTCACGTAAAGCAGGCTTCCTTCAACATTTCTCTGCATTTTCAAAATTTTGGCTCTTTTGCATACTTTGCCTCTCCATATAAAATTTTGAATAACCATAGATTTTGTAAAAAATTCCTGCTGTGATTTTTATTTATATATATATTATTGAATTTGTAGATCAGTTTGGAGAGAATTGACAATATCAAATATTCTAATCCATAAATATGATATAGCTTAACATTTACATCTTACTCAAATTCTTTCAACAGTGTTTTATAATTTTAAGTATATGGAATTGTATAAATTTTTTTAGACTGGTACCTAAACATTTCATGGTCTGGGTGTTATTATAAACAGTACTTTTATCTCAACTTCTATTTGTTCATGGCTAGCACTTACAAATACAAAGATCCTTCTCATTGTGTGGGTAAAGGAAAAACCATGGAACGTTTCCGGTAGGTTGTGGTCCTTGTGAAGTCAAATCCCAGGGTAAGATGGGATTTACTTTAATGATCTAAACAAGGAGCTGGTACACTTTTTCTGCAAATGTAACTCAGATTGTAAGTATTTTTAGGTTTTTCAGATCATACGGTCTTTACAGCAAGTATTCGCCTCATGGAAAGCATGGACAATACAGACATGAATGAGCTGGACAAGTTTGCCTGCTGCCTACACCAAGTTTGGTGCTACGCTGGAATCTCCGGGCTGTAAATGCTGGTCTATCCGGATACTGGAAAGTAACAGCCATAACGAGGGTTTGGTCAGCACACAGGTTGTCACCTCAGATCAGAGAGACTAATAATTCCAAGAGGAACAAATGATTTAAAAACCTATCAACGCCTTGTTAAAATTCCAGCTTGTCAATTATAATCCCAGGTTCCTGCGGACTTGGGCCCCACGGCTTCAGTACACGCGTTACTGCCTGTCCTTCGAATGCCTGTATACCTAACACTGTCAGCCCCGCACAGAGCCAGACACTCACAAGGGCAAGTAAAGACCTCACACTGACCGGTCGAGGAGAAAACAACTGAAAAGAAGGTGTGTGTGTTTGTGCATGTGTCCTAGACCACTGCAGCACCAAACTTCTGCCCCACGTGGGAGGTGGCTGCATTCCCATGGACAGGACCGGTCGGCCAACTCTCCAGAACAAAGCTGTGGGCTTAGCCTTCTAGGATGAGCCTGCTCCAGCTAAGAGGAGAGGACAAAAGGCTGTTTATAAGGGGGCATTGTCATGTCATTGCCATGTGATTCCACATGCATTTGTTGAGTGCCTACAATGGACCAGGTATTGTAGCCGACTGAGAGCAAAGCAGGACAGAAACAGGCTCTGCCCAGCCCAGGGCTTCAGTTCTCGGATGAACCTGTGGGGAGGGGTGAGTAGTATTAGCCCCTAGGGGGAATGTGCCCCCAGGTACCCTTGGCCATGTCTGGTGATATTTCTGGTTGTCACGACCAGGATGAGGGTGCTCCTGGCACCCAGGGGGAGGGGGCCAAGGATGCTGCACCCTACAGTGCCCTGGACAGCCAGGCACAGAGAAAAATCTGTCCTGAGGGCCAGCACTGCTGAGGGGGAGAACCCGCCTAATGTCACAGACCTACCCTGCAGTCCTTCTGGGACTGAAATCTAGACAGGTAACTATCACCCTTACAGCATCTGCACTCAACACAGTTCAAGTCAAATAAAACATACTATGTTGCAAATCTATGTGTTACAGTCTCTGCGAGGCCTGGCTGCACCTAAACCAGGAAGTACTTGAAGCAATGAGGAGGAAAGGTCTTTACTCCAGCAGAACTAGCAGAATCCCACCTTCTCCCAGGAAAAAGTGCTCCAGGGAAGAGCATTTTCTTCTTTTCCTTTTCCTGGGCTCTGTGCTGGGGATCTGGGTACCACAGTCAGGACCCCCAAGGCCAGGACTATGTGCCCAGTGCCTGAGCGTGGCTCACAGAGCTGCCCGTGGGCTGTGGGGTCATCCGGTTTTCCACGTGCACAATGCTGCTCGGATCCTCACTGGCGCCGCCCCGGCATCTCACCTCCCTGGTCCTGCAGGTCTCAGCCTGGACCCCACCTCCTGGGGAGCAGCATGACTGAGGAATCCCAGTCCGTGTGCCAGGTCTTCACTGGCCTCTGCACATGCTGCTTACCCACACTCACCACCCTGTACTCCATCCCACCTAGTATAATCCGCTCCAGCCGCGGCCTGGACAGGAAGGTGGCCAGGGAGGGCCACTGTATGGAGCTCAAACCATGTGGGTGAGGCAGCCATAACGCTAAGACAGGAGACACAGGAACATCTGTGCCCCTGGCTCCAGGCCACACGCCTGCAGAGGGTACCAGAGCCGCTCTGCTCAGCACACACACACATCCATGCATGCACAAACACGCCCATGTGCATGGTGCACAAATGCACACACACACCACACACGTACAAACACGTGCACATACTACACGTGTGCATGTTCGTGTCTCATGAAAGATGACAAACACGCTTAACTGATATCTGAAATACCTTTGCATACGGAAAGTTGAATTGTCCTTGACTTAAAAACTGCTTTCAAGGCTTTCACACTTATCCTCAAGACAGGAATGCTGAGAAAAGGAACCTGCAGTCCCGTAAGAGCAGCACTCTAGCCGCAGGCAGAAGCAGGCTGAGCTCGGCCCCGCAGGGCCGTCCTTCCCAGGGAACCAGGCTGCACTCTGAGCTCGGGGGCACGATCAGCTGTCCGCCTGCCTTACCTTCTGCCCCCCAGCCTGAGCACACACAGCTTGCACAGAAGATGAAAATGATGCATTTCCCATTCCGGGATCTGCTTGTCTAGCTGATGGGACTGGGCTGCTACAGGAGGTGAGTGCCCTGGCGGTAGAGTCAAGAAGACCTGAGGGTCGACAAAGATTAGGCAGTGTTTACGTTTTATTTTTCTTTCGATAGGAGGGACCATTCCTCAAGGAAGTGATGCAGTTCTGCACGTTCTTTTAGTGACCGGAACTACATCTGCCTCTGCTTGTGCTTTGGGTTCGTTTTGCAGTAGATGAACCAGCGCCCGCGCCTCTTCACCCGGTAACAGTCCCTGCAGCGCTCCTTGATGACGCCCTTGGTCTTGAACCCCAGGGCAAGCTGCAGGCCGGGCAGCTGCAGGCCGGGCAGCTGCAGGCCGGGCTGCCCCGCGGGCCCCCACGCCCTGGGCTTCGCACCAGCGGCACCTGCAGTGTGAAGGCGTCCGGGCAGCAGAGTGGAGAGCGCGCGGGGCATCGCCGGGGGAGGCCTCCGACGGAGCAGCGGGCTCAGGGCGGACGCCAGCATCTTCGTCACCAGCGCGGATGCCATGCTGCGGCCGAATCGACCGGGAACAGAAAAGCAATCCTTAAGGTCTCCGCGCACGATGGAGAGCTTTGCCAACAGGCTCCACCGCCACCCCCCGCGAGCGCCCGCCCCTCCGCCCGCGCTCTGCAGCCCCGGGCCCCCCGGCGGGGTCTCAGAGGGCCGGGGACGCGGCAGCAAGCGCCGGGCCCGGCCGTGCCCGCCGGCAGGGGACAGCACGCAGGCGGCCCTTCTCGGCGGCAGGGGCCGGGGCGCGGAGGACCCGAGGCCCCGCGCCAGCTGCCGCCCCGGCCCCCCACCCCTCGCGGCCCTGGGACCCCTGACCTGAGAAGGCGACCACGGCGGCCGGAAGCGCGCCCCGCAAGCGCCTGCGCAATGGGGCGGGGATGCCACCGTCCGGAGTGTCCGCCAGAAAGAAAGATGGCGGCAGGATCACGTGGCCATCCCCCCGGTGCCGGGCGCCGAGGCGGAGTCACCAGCGCGCCCTTGATCTCCACCTGGGACCCCTTCCCGCCACAGGGTGTCAATGGTTTTGGAGAATGTCAAAATGGGAACGGAAATAGGTATCTAGAATGCAAAAGAAACCACAACCAACTAGACATTTTTAGAAAACAGGCGAATACCGAAGTCAAAGCAAAATCTAGAAGAACCCACTGTATTAAGTGGACATCCTGGGGGAAAGGAGGCAAGGCTCATGGAAGCAGTGGAGATAGGCAGTCGTCCTAACTAGTTGCAGTCAAATATCTTTTTTCCCCCTCCAACCTTTTATTATGAAACATTCCAATAAAAGTCGAACGACTCCGGCGAGCCCGCATCTACCCATCGCCAGAGCCCACAATGAACTCAGTACACCCGCCGTTCCGTGTATGTGTCGCGAACCCACCCATCTGTTGTCCGTGCACGAAGGCGACCTGCAGACGACGGTCCATCTGCACGCCCCACCACGACACCTGCCCAGGTGAGCTCCGGGCCTGCCTGTGGGTACCTGTCTGTGGGCATCCTTCCATTCCGAGAGGTTTTCAGTGCATCTAGTCTCTCATCACCTCCACCTCCTGGAGTCCAGACTGTGGGTGCACTCAGCTCCCGGGGAGGGGTCACCCCGGCTGAGTCTACCCCCCCATACCCACCGCCCTTGTCCATCTGGGCGCTGGCCCCGCGTGACTGACCCTCCTGAGCGGTCTATTAACGGGTAGGCAGTTCGGGGAGGGAAGCCCCGGGACGGCGAGCCGGAGTCTGCCCAGGTGTGCTCTAGAGCAGGGGGCCTTCGGGGCTGATCTGCATGGGGGATGACATTGATTGTGCTTTACTGGTTGCTTCAATGGAGCTCTGCTTCAGAAATCCCAAAACATGCTGTCCCCATGGCCACACAGAAGTGCGCACTGCGCAACGTGAATGGACTTACAGTTCGCTCTGGGCAAGGACCCTTCACTAATAAAGACATTCGCTATGTAGCCCCCCATGATTATTACCATCGAACGTGAAAAGTGCACCTTCATTTTCCATCCTCCCCTGTCCTACCCCAGGTAGGAATCACCAACAGCTGCTAAGTGCTAGCGTTGCACGTAAAATCTGCCGCCTTTTTCTGAACCGCAGCCCAGCCGCTGCACCTGCAGGGCTGCATTAGCCCGAGCGCACCGCGCGTGCGCGACTCCCCAAGGCGCTCTAAATCCCGGCCGCGAGGGCCCTGCGAAGCTGTGCGCATGCGTCAGCGTGTCGGTGCGCCGGGTCAGGGGTCAGTCCGCAAGATGGCGGCGGCGGTGGCCTTCTGCCGGCTGCTGGGCCGGAGCGGCACGGCGGCGCTGAACCCGCCCCGGGGCGCCAGGTGTTGGGCGGTGCGGACGTCGCCGACCGGCGAGAAGATTACGCACACCGGGCAGGTAACCGCCGCGGCGTGGAGGCCGCCCTCCGTCTCGGACCTGCGGCCGGGGGACGCGCTGGCCGGTGGGCAGGGCCCCCGGGACGCGGAAGCCGCCGCGTGTCGCGGGCCGAAGCCTGTGCCGGCCCCGGTTCAGGTTAGGGCCTCGGAGCGCCGGGCCTCGGGCTCCGACAGGCGGCGCCGTGGGGGTGCCCCGGGCCTCGGGCTCCGGCCGCCCGGTGTTTGTGCCGTGCCGAGTAGTCGTCGCGTCTCGGCCGAAAGCAGAGGCGCTGTTCAAGGGCAGCGAGAGGCCGGGCGGCGACCAAGCCCCCGTGTTGCCGGTGTCGCCCAGTGGAGGCCGTCTGGAGGGGAATCGGGGCTGCCCCTGCCCTTTCCAGCCGCGCCTTGCCGCCTTCCCGTTCGCGTTTCTGCCCCTTCTCAGTTGGGGCGTCTTGCCGAAATGCGCCTGGTTGCACAGTGGTCCTTTGTCGCTCCTGTGCTTGATCGCGAACGGCCGCAGTGTCAGAAAAGCACTTGCCTGTGATATTAAGTGACTTCTTTCAGATCAGGCTGCAAACATCATACATGGTCTTTTTTCCCCCCAGGTCTATGATGATAAAGACTACAGGAAAATTCGGTTTGTGGGTCGTCAGAAGGAGGTAAGCAAGAGATCTAGTAAAAGAGGTAGGCTTTCATAAAACCTTTAGAACCAACGAGAAGTAAAAAGTTAATATACAGCCTTAAATTCTCAAATTGTGAGCCCCCGAGCAGCTCTGGAATTCTGCATTTCTTTGAAATGTCTGCGTGTCTACATTTGTTTTGTTTCCTTCTGAATTATACAAAGTGACGTCTTGTAAGTGCAGTCTGGGCTTATGTATAAATGGGAGTGGTCTTTTTTGTTTTCTTCATTTCTGTGCCTTATACTCCTGAGACCGTCAGATTAAAGGAAGTCACATCAACTTTTAAAAATGACTCTTTCAGTCACCTTTTGGGGTATCCTTCTCCTATTCCTGCCAAACAGATGGGGCTGTGTTCTTACAGGGACTGACACTCCGGAGCTGAACCTGGCAGGAGGACTGCCCTGCCCTGACTGGGTGTGTCCCACCATGACTGCAGGAGAGAGATGCTGGTAGTGGTGCCCCCACCTCCAGGAGCCTGTGCTCTTCCAATTCCTCGCTCACCCGCGCTGCCAGATCCCCAGTCTTTGTGCTCGTTGGTTCGGGTGGTCTTCCGTGTCTGAGTTCTTCTGTCCTCCAGAGTCGCCTTGAGCCCCTCCTTCCCTCAGTCAGCCTTCTTGTTACTCCTCCCCTCTGATCTTGGTTCCATAGTCCATTCTTAAATTCTCATTTTCTACTTCCATTTCTGCCTTGTGGGTGTTGGGGGTAGGAGCAGGCTGGTGGAGACAGTGTTCAGTGGCTGGGGGCGAGGTGGGGAGCACATGGGTCCTGAAGCCTCAGGCTTGCCCCTGCAACCTGGCCCCCAGCTCCCTAGCTCAGCACCTCTGATGCTTTAGCAAGCACCTGAGTCTGTCCCAAGCTCCTCTCTGCTAGAGACTCTGTGTGGCCTCTGGTTTCTGATTGCCTTAGCAGGGGCAAGGGGAGCAACTTAAAACCAAAATCAACCAAACAAAATCAGAATTAGCAAAGCCAGTGAACTGTGAACAGAGGAGGCAGAGCTGATGGTGTCTGCTCACCCAGGTCCGGAACCCTTCCTGGCTCCGGGTCTCTGTGGCCTTTTCCCGTTTGACATCGTGAGTGTCCTGGGGGCACATTTTCAAGTTGTAAAGGTGCAAGGCATGTCAGTAAATGAGTTGTCCTCTGGCTTTCATTGTCTTATGACAAAAATTTGGCATTTAGTAGTACTGTAAAACTGTTTGGGTTTCCCAAAAACATTGTTTTAGAAGACTTTTACGTGTACTGAAAACTTGGACGTGAAGTGCAGAGGGTTCCCCTATGCCCACCTCCTGCCAAGCAGCCCGTTACTAACATCTTGCATTGGGGTGCTGCATTTGTTGTGATTGATTACTTTGAACACTTGATGGATGTTGATATGTTATGAGCTCAAGTCCGCGGTTTATGTTGGGGTTCATTCTTTGTGGTGTACGTCCTGTGGGTTGTGACAAACTCATGTCATGTGTCCACTGTTACAGTATCACACAGAGTAGTTTCCCTGCCCTAAAAATGTCTTGTGCTCCACCTATTCATCCTTCCCTCCCCGCCGTCTCTGACAACCATGGATCTTGCTGTCTCTCTGGTTTTGGTTAGTTGTGTTTTAAGAAATCCAACGAATCTGAGCTTAATCTGAAGAACAAGGAGAGTGGGAAGCTAGAGAAAGGGCTTTGCAGAGAAAAATGGAAAGTATCTGTGTGTGGCTCTTGGCCGCTCCGGACCAGACATGCCTGATACAGTTTGCAGCGTGTCTGCAAGGGAATCCGTGTGAGCCTCTGACGGGAATCTTCCCAAGAGGGGGCACTCACGTGCTGAAGAACAGGTCCACCCAGCTCCCACCCCTCAAGGAGGGGACAGAAGCCAGGCCTGCCATGGTCCTGGGCCACCTCCGCGAGGCAGAGGGCTGGAACTGAGCAGATACTCGTCTGAAGTTACAGAACTAGTTTCATTGACTTTGTGATCATATGCATCAAACGAAAGGGCACACGTTTCCTGTCCTCTAGTGGAAGAGCTCGTGTGGACAAACGATCACAGTGGGGAGTGGCAGTGATGGGGACAACAGTGAGAACAGTCGCAGTACCGTCTCTGTCACCTGGCAGCTGGGTGTACTCATCTGGTTTCGAGCATGGCTCCAGATCACTCTGTCTGACCGCGTCCGGATCTGTGCACCCTCAAGCACTGCCTGCCTCAGTCACTGACCTCACTGGGCTGAGGGTGCTGGGTTCGAGCAGACAGTCCCCTAGAGAACCCCCCTGCCCCAGGGAGCCATCAGTGAGCGTGTGCCTTACTCTGTTGCTGTTGGGTTACTGTGACTGGGGCAGGCGTCATTTGTAGGTTTTAAAGATGAACAATTAGGCAGAGAGCCCAGAACACTGGGAGGCCGAGGTCCATTGAGTACAGCTCCCCCCTGCCCTCCACTTTCTGAAGTGATGCTCTGCCCCAGGAGGAATACCCTCGCCAGCTGTGGGGCTGGTGACCCCCACTGCCTGGAGTGGGCATCCATCCGAGGGAGGGTGCTCCGGACATTTCCTGCCCATCTCAGATTTCCTGCCCCGCTGGCTGGCAGGCGAGTCTGGTTATGAGTCGGTCTCCCCCGCTGGGCCCCTTTGTTCTTCAGTAGCAACTTGAAGGTGCCAACCACCACCAACCTGAGGGGCGGTCCCTGTGGTGTCGACGTCCATGTGCCCTGCTGTGTTTGTTGCAGTAACATGAAGCCTGTCCACCTCAGAAGAGGCTGGGGATGCTGGGGGTGGAAAGAGTGAGCTGTGAGTGCTGGAGGGAGGGGCTTGCGGACTGGGTACGTGCAGAGGGGCTTCAGGGCCCACCCAGGAGTGAAGAGTGTCCTTCAAGGCCTTGCTTCTCCTGGGACGTGGCATAGCAGACCGCTCGCCTGGTGAAGTGACTTCTCCACTGAGGTGGCCCATGCTCCCCAGGCAGAAGCTTTAGAAAACTTCCCGGGTGTTAGCCAGGATCGGGAGCAGAGTGAGACCCTGAGCATCTCTCATCCCCTGCTGACTGGTGTTTGACACCGACACCTCAGCGCGCGGCCATCCGAACTGTCGTGATGCGAAGGTACACGTATACGCACACACACGTGTGTCCGGAAGGTCGAGAAGGCTGAACGAGCCGGCGGGATGCAGTGCTGCCCCGGGGATTAGGAGGAGGAGGGCCCCTGCGCTTCAGGTGGAGGCAGGGGGCAGCAGGTGTGGGCTTCTTGCCAGGGGCCGCCCCGCCCACCTTCGGAGAGATGGCTCCTGCTGAGCGGACATGGAGCTCGGGGTCCCCTCCCTCCAGGCGGGGTTCCCTCCTCTGCACCCACAGCCCCCCCCCCCCCCCCCCCCCGGTCTCCAGGCCTCTCCTTGCGACCCACACCGTAGAATTCCCCACGGACTTTCTTTTCAAGGACCGCCTCCTTGCTGGTCTGTGAAGGGTTTATTAACAAGAACAGTTTCCTGTGTCTGTCTGGTTGTCTTCTGGAAGAAGCAAGCACGTGCCTTTTGAGGCGTATTTGGAGACTGGGGAGTTGTGTTCGCTGTGGCAGGCTCTTCAGCATTTCTCGGGCACTTTGTCTTCTGCGTTTCCCTTCCCAAGTACATCCTGTCTGCCGTGAGAGTGGGGTAAAGGCATGTACGTTTTAAAATAAATCTTTTGGTGACTAGGAGCCACGGGCCTTTGGCTCCCCTGGGGGGGCGTGGACTGTCAAAAGTCTGTTTACCCCTCGGATCCAGGGGGTAGTCCTTGAAACTGAGTTCCTGAAGCCCAAGGTTCAGACACTGGTGGCCTGGGTGGTGCTGAGCGTCGAGGTCTGTGCCTTCCTCTCTCCCTCTGGCGGTTCCACGTGTCAATGCTTGTCCTCTCCCTCCGCACCGGCCAGGTCGCCCCAGAGCACCTGCGAACACTGCCATAAAAAAAAGCCTAGGAGGTATTTTTGAGCATTTTCTCCAAATTTGTGTTAAAAATTAATTTGGATGAAAACCTCAGTTTTTATTGTGATTGAAAAATTATAATAGTGTGTATATACACATGTGTTCAGCTAAATATAAATGTGGTATTAGTATTAAAGATCCCTGATAGTCTAAATAATTGGGCTTTTACTTTATTTTAAATCTGTAAATTTCCATGAACAGGGTTAGCACCCTACAGAATGTTGGTTACTCAACTAGGATTATTCTTCCTTTTTGTATAGCTTTAATACTGTTTTGTGTAGTCTTGTGTTTTATGTTGTACTTTTAATGGATTTGATCTCAGTTTGATGGAGTAAACTCTCCATAAGAACTGTCACTTCCAAAAACATGAGTTAGAATAACATAACAGCTTACTGACAAATGAATTTAAACCTGAGTATCTTGGTGCCCAAATCCGTTGGCCATCAAGAGATAAATAAGAAGGTAGTTTCCCATTGGTTACGTTAGTGGGGTACAAAGGAGTGTTGTACAGCCGTGGCAGCGTTCAGGGCCCGCGACACCGTCTGCCTGGAGCCCACTGTGCCGACAGCCGAGGCAAGAGCCTGGGGCGCTGGGACGCGTGTCTGCGTTCGCGCCTCGTGAGGCCCGGTGGTGCGCCTCCTGCCCGTCCTCGGTGAGGGCGGCAAGACCGAGCCCTGGGCTGTCACCTGCAGGTGGCTGCTGGACACGTGCTGGCTCCGGGGCTTTTCGTACGCCTGCAGTTGCACCGAACCCCGGGAACGAGACGTTCACCATCGAAGGTCAGCGTCGCCCTGGAGCTGAGTGACGGGCAGTCCTGTGTCCGCCTCGGGCGTCAGCTGCCCTTCTCATGGGAGATGATGGTCTGTCTGACCGCCGTGACGGGGCCCGGGGGTCTGTCACTGAGGTAGACGCCGTCGTGTGTTGCACCATGAGGCTTCATTTGTGTGACGCGTGGCTCTGTGTGAAGCAGAGGTGAGCGGGACTTCCCTCCCTCCACAGCCCAAGTAAGGTTCAGGTGCGAGGGGAGCGGCCAGCCCGGCTGTAGGGGCCACTACGCTCAGAGGGGCCTGTGGCACAGCCCGGCCTCCCTGCCCGGCCGCGTGGCGCATGCAGCCTGTAGCCTCTAAGGTAGCCCTACTTCCCAGTATCCTCCTGCTGTGTCTGTGGGAATAAAACTTCACAAAATCATGGTCTGTAGCTATAAACCTTTTTAAAAATAATTAAATTTTTCCAGAACGTCCACATTCTGTGGGTCTGGGGCGTCCTCTGTGTTGATGGCAGGCGAGGCCTCTGTTTCTGCGGAAGAGTGAGGGGCTGGGCCACGCTGGGTCGCGTGTCCTCTGGATGGAGTCCGCTGGCTTTAGAAAAACTTAACTGAGGTTGACTGTGCCTTTCTGACTTATTTCCAGGTTTTATTAAAATTCAGATGTCCAAGCCCCCCTTTATTTGTAAAGATTGATCCACGTCCGATCCTTGTCTCCTTGTCTTCTCTCAGGTGGGGCCTCTCCATGGAGGTGGGGCTCTGGGCACGCAGGGCAGGCACCCAGCTGGGCCCCGGGGGCCAGGACTGCCCCGCACGGCAGTTCTCACTGTCAGGTACGCACAGCACTGAGGTTCTCACCAAGCAGATGGCAGAGTAGCCTGGGCAGCGCTTACTTCTCTGTGTGTAGCCTCCGCTTCCTGTCTTGTTTGCACGCGGTGCCCCTCCCCGTCGTAGTTGCAGGGACGTCTGCCAGGAAGTGTGACGTTCCCCCCCTAATGGCATTCGTCCCATACCGTGTGCTGCAGTCAGATGACCCTCCAGCTTCCAGAAGCGAGTGACTTCCCAGGTGTGGTCTTGCTGTTGCTTTCCACCCTGGGTGGGTTGATGGTGACGCTAGGTCTGAGGTGCCATCAAGCGAGCTGCTCCTCGGGAGCCCGAGTGCGGGGCACAAAGCTCTCTCTGCCGACAGCTGAGAGGGTGGTCAGAGCATATGACTGATTGCTGCGGACGGCTTCGGGGAGCACAGACTGTTGGAGCAGGGAAACGCCTCTGGATGTCCTTCCTGGGTTTGCGTGGCTCTCCGGGGCGGGAAGCTGCAGCCCATGGTGTGGGCTGGCCCACCATGGTGGGACATGGGACTCGGCTCCGTAACAGTGCTGTGGGGCACGTTAGGGGCCTTCACACACACACACACACTCACTCACTCACTCACTCACTCACTCACTTTCCCAGCTTTGCCAGCCTCAGGAGCTTTGTCGCCTTGGCCTTGGCCAGAGACGGCTCTGAGTGCCTGGCTCACGACGGGTCAGATACAACAAGACAGGTCTCCTGGCCTGGGTCCCCTTTGCCACAGTAGCTCATTGTAAGACATTATTTGCCCAGCCGGGATGTTTGAATTGCTGTTTAACAAAACAGAGTTCACGAGGTGGAGGGAAAGGATCATGGTCGTCCCATGAGCCCATTCTGATCCAGTGGTTACCAACCAGGAGACTTCCCCAGGCGGCCATGCTGGTTTCTGCTCGGATCCACCCACACCCTGCTCCCCGCCAACGCCAGCCGTCTTGAAGCAGGTCGCTGACATGGTTCCATTGAATCGAGTTCCCCAGTGCATATGGATCCCCAGGAGGTGCTAATGTGACTAGAGCATCAGTATCACACGGGAGATTACAGCGATCTTTAAGTTAAGTATCTAGTGGGTGGTAAATATTCTTGATTGTGTTATAGTAAAAAAATTTTTTTGACTCAGAATACAGATAAGCTTCCTGCGTTGCAGTTGCTGAAGTGTCTATGTTTCTTTCAACTTTTAGGTGTTGCCCCCTCCCCCCAGACACATACAAACTCTCCCTTTACCTCCTTGGAACTCACCTGTCAAAGGACCCGGGTCATTTTCTCCTGTGGAGTCGCCCACAGCTGGGCCCTTCGTGGGGTTTGGTGCCTTCGTTCCTGGGGTGTGGAACCGGGGTTGGCTGTAGCAGCTCCGTCAGATCAGACTCGTCAGGTCAGACTCTGGTCCTCTGTGCTGAGGTTACTGCGTGGCGGCGTAGGGCGCTTCCATCGAGGCTTGGTGCAGGTTCCGGGGCAGTGGCCGAGCGTCTCCACACAGGGTGGAGGGCAGTGCTGTCTTCCCACTTGCGGAAAGACACTTTGGTTGGCCAGAAGAAAGTAGAAGGAATATCGATTTTTTTCCTTTTGTTTACCAGTTTTTAAAATGAGGTCATTCCCTATGGTGAGGTATTTATTGAATTTTAAAATCTGAAATCACAGATTTCAGCATATTTGTTGGGTGTTGGTCCCTGCAGTTGCAACCCCGTCGTCCCTCCAGTGCCCCGGGTTGTCCCGTATTGTCCTGTTAGGTGTGGACGTGGCCGTGGGCGTCTGCCAGAGCTTCCTTGCCCCTGTGACCGCGGAGGGGCCTCTGCTGGTGGGGACAGTCAGCCCTGGGCGCCCGTCTCCGTGTCATTCCTCACGTGTCCCAGCGGGTGGAGCGAGGCACGGGTCCAGGAACAGAGCCGGTGCTAAAGCCACGGTACAGTGTGAGGGGTCTGGTCTGCACATTAGGTACAGACCAGGGAGGAGTGTTTGTAGTCCGGTTCCTGCACCGTTTCTGTAAGTGTGAAATTGTAGCGAAATGGAAAGTTACGCGTGCGTGTGTATGCGTGTATTGTGTGTGTAATTTGAAGATCTGCAGCGATAATAGACGAGAACGTATGGAATGTGCCTGTGCAGGTAGGACCTGAGAGTGTGGGGGGCGTTGTCTACATAAACTTAAATTCCATGAAATTATCTAGCTTTTGTCCTTGGATTCCTGAGTTTTTCTTTTCATCTTGTTCTAGGTGAATGAAAACTTTGCCATTGATTTGATAGCTGAGCAGCCCGTGAGTGAAGTTGGAGATCGTGTGATCGCGTGTGACGGCGGCGGGGGGGCTCTCGGCCACCCGAAAGTGTACATAAACCTGGTACTGTGTCACCTGTCCTTGCTGCCGTAGTCTAAGCTGTCCCGTTCCGTGTGGCCCTTGCAGTGCTGGTTCTGACCTTTCCTACAGACGGCGCAGTAGGGACCGTGTGAAGGGCACCCTTTCCACTGGGACGTGCCGTGAGGTGCTCTGGGACATAGTGTTACCAGCACGGACTGTCCACTTTCCTTCCACACACACGGGCTCGGTCTTCCTGGAACCTCCTTTTGGAGTCTGTGCACCCACAGAGCCTTGGAGAGGGGAGGACCCGGGACGTTAGAGCAGAGGGGCAGGCAGGGGCTGAGGCTCAGGCCTGCCGCAGCGTGGACACAGGGGCGAGAAGTCAGCAGCACCCCAGCACCCCGTCTGCTAGTGGGCTGAGCGTGCCCAGACCAGACCCTGGCCTTGGGGGTGGCAGGCCTCTGCACAGCGCTCCACCTGCTCCAGTCCATTGAATTCTGGGTTCAGGGTGAAACCTCGGCCCTCCTGGGCCACGGGAGTAGACGGGCACTGAGCTAAGGCCAGAAGACTTGTCCTTGTGGCGGTCCTTTGAGATGACCACGTGTTCTGGGGCCAGAGCCAGGGTTCAGGTCACCGCCTGCGGCTGCCAGCGAGTCATCGTGGAGCCAGAGTCAGACCCGGGCCCGGTGCCGCAACGGTTCTCAGTTCTGGCGCGACCTCAGGATTTCAGCCGGGTCTAGCTGAGATTGTATTTCAAATTCTGTGCACACTTTCCTCTCTGATGTCTAAACATGTTTAGATGGGAGCAGAATATGGAAATTTGAGATCTCTCTTCTCGAATCTTTTCAGGACAAGGAGACAAAGACGGGGACATGCGGTTACTGTGGCCTGCAGTCCAGACAGCAGCACTAGCATGACGTGCGTCGTCGTCCCAGGGGCCGTGCATACGGGCTGCTCGGCGTGAACATACAACAGAGCCTCCTGCTGGTGCCGAATAAACGGTGTTGTCATCACGGATGGCGAGCCACGTGCTTGTTTCTTTCAGAGAGCTGATGTTGGAGAATGAAGGTGCACTTACAGGTGCAGACCAAAGCGGGGTCCTCCTCCGAGGTGCGTGCCGGCCCTTCTGTAGCATGTCCGTGCTCCATGCGACCACACTCGGTGGCTCAGGGATGGGAGGGGGGAGGACTGCTCTGATTCTGCAGAACGGAGGTTCATCAAGCTTAGGGCTCCCCCAGGGGCTGGCCCTGGGCTCAGGCTTCCATGCTCTGAAAGCATGTGCTCCCCACCCCCCCCACCACTTACCTGCAGTGACACTTCCCTTCTGTCCTCTTGTTTTGGGTGAAAGGCAGAGAATCTTAAAGCCCGGGAAGCATCTGTATTAACATTCCCCTGCAGGCCAGATTCAGGGTAATCTGCGTAGGTAACAGAGCAGTCAGGTAACAGAAAAGTAACAGTAGGACTTCGGAGGGAAGGGAAAGGGGGCTGGGTAGAGTGTCCGCGAGCCCTGACACGCGGTACGTGGGGTCCAGGTGGAGGCAGTGATGGGGCAACACAAGGTGAGGCGCTATTAACCCAAGGAGGGAAGGGAGCCCAAGGGAAACCTGCGTGGACACACCAGCATCCCAGCAAGACTGGTGAGGACACAGCTATGGGTATTCTGATTCTGGAGAATTGTAAGCTCCAAACTCTAGGGTCTAGAGTAAACGACTTGAGCTTCTAGATGAAAGAACAGATTACCTAATGGAGGCGTTATCAGAACGACATGCAACTTTTCATTCCTAGGAGCTGGAGACAGTGAAGAGCATCACTAGCCTAGCACGGTCACCCATCCTGAGGGGAATGCTTCATGGGCACGGAGAGTGCAGAGCCCCTCCTGGACCCCTTGTGGGGCCAGCCCAGGCCTCGGGGCAAGGGGGGGCGGTGGGTGAGGCCTGCCGATTGTGCACCCGAGTTCACACACTGGGCACACCTGGGGGCGCACAGTGGGTCCTCATGAGGCTCTTCCAGCACAAGTGCCTCTGAGCCAGCGTCAGAGGAGGGGCGTAGGGTGGGGGGAAAGGGGCCAAGTGACCCTGGGGTCAATGTGGGGGGGAGCTGGAAGGGGCTGGCGGTCTGGTCAGGAGCAGGGTGAACACAGGAGGGACGTCACGCGGCCTTGGTGTCCAGGAGCTGCAGAGTCCTGTCTGAGCTGCACCTGAGTGGCGTGGGGCCTGCCAAGGGAGCGGCCCTGACCCGCACATGCCTGGACCTGTGGGGGCTGGAGGGCGGCAGACAGCTGGGACACCCGTCGGAGGGCCCCGCCGAGTTGCTGGTTGCCGTGGGGCCTTCTGTCCCTACTAGCCAGGATTTTAAACTTGAGTGGGTGTGGGGTTCTGCCAAACACTTTCTCCATCTGTTGGAATGTGATGCTTTTCCATTAAATACGTGACATCGTGAATTACTCTGATTTTCTAAAGTGAAACCATTCCTTTGCCCGGAGAGGCCCCGCTCACGCCTGGCCTGGAATCCTTTTCCTCTGGGGCCTCATGTGGTTTGGGCCTTCCGAATCTACGTTTAGGCTTGGATGAGGCTTTTTAAGCACTTCCTTTTCTCTGTCCTGAGTCTTGGTGTCAGGGTTTGCTCCCCTGTGAGCTGCTAGTGCATTCACGTTTCTCCTTGAGCCGGTTTTGGTGCTTTGAATTTTATTCTTGATGTCTAGCCGCTTTACCTAGATTTCCACGGGTCCTGGCATAAAGCTGTTGAGAGCTTTCTTGACCTCTCATCGGCGCTTCACGGTCTGCAGCGGCTTCCCCTCCTGAGGGGTTAGTGTGCCTTTTTGGGTTTTTTTCTGGCTGCGTCTCTCCAGAGGTTCATCGACCACTTAGCAATCTTTGGTTTGTCCATCTGCTTGGCTGTATTTTTGGTTTTTGTTTGATTAACTTCTGTCCATTACCTTTGATTTCTATGTTCTTGCTGTTTATTTTGAAGTTCTCCTAACTTCTCGAGGTGGTGGTTTTACTGTGTTAAATTTCAGCGTTCCTCTTCTCATGAGTATTTAATGCTATGAAGTTCACCCTAACCTCTGCTTTAGCTATACCCCATTGTTTTGATGGGTTGTATTTTCATTACTCTTCAGTTTTAAATATAAGCATGTAATTATTAGTGGCCAAGTAGATGGGAATATTCTGCTCTTAGCAATTTGTAGCCTAGTCTGAGAACATGTTCTGTATGATTCCATGCTTGAAATCTGTTGATTGAGACTTGCTTGATGGTCCGTTTCGTGGCTGGCTGCTCTGAGCGCCCTGGCTTGCAGGGGCTGACACCCTCGGGCAGGTGCAGCATGGCCGGTGGGAGCTGCCCCCAGATGTGGGCTCGGGTGCTCCTCCACCAAGTTCTCTCTCTTCTTTCTTGTTTCCGTTTTTAAAGAAGGACGTCTGGGGCTCTGCTGTTCGTTTCCTCAGACTTCAAACGGCCTTTTCACTGAATTGAACCTCTTACAATTATGAAGTGATTATGTTCATCTCTAGTAAAACATTTTGCTTTCAGGTCTGTTTTGCTTTTCTTAATTTGGCCCCACCAACTTCTTTAGGTTGGTATTTGCATGTTCTGTGTTTTTAGTCCTTTTATTTTCAACATGAATGTATCCTTGTACTTTTATTGTGTCCTGAAAATAGAATGTAGGTGGATTTTTGCTACCCAATTTAAAATTCTTTGTGTTCTAACTGGAGATTTCAGTCCATTTTTATGTAACGTAAAATACTTAGGTGTAAACTATCATCTTATTCTGCTCCTTGTCCCAACTCTTGCATGGTTCCGTTTCTTTTGGAAAGAATTCATTTTTTTATTTTCTTTTCCCTGTAATGCATTAAATTGTAGTTGAGTTTTCTTTAAAACAGAAAAGTCGAAGACGGGAAAATATCGGCAGCTCATACGGTAAAGAAACTCATAACCGCAAATACAGCGCATGTTCGTGCATGACCATCAGGCAAATTTTACCAAACCAGGGCCCAGGAGATTGTTTCTCTTGCTTGATTCAGTGCGCTAATTGAAGCCACTGGAAGTGACTGTGTGGACTGTGGCGTGTTGATCATGGCTGTGCTGACCGTGGCCATGCTGATCACTGCGTGCTAACTGTGCCCCATCTGGACCGCTGCAGGTGCAGGGGCGCGGCCCTATGAGGAGCCGCTAGCTGGAATCTGCAAGACGCCCGTGTGTTGCAGCCCCCCTCGCTCACGGAAACACTGGCCGTTCGGGAATGCAGTTTGGGTGACCCCCACCATCCTCGCTGTCCTTCTCATGTAGTAAACCAGAACGCTTCTGTTTACATACGGTTCTCTGGGGAGATAACATCCTATGAGCATGGTGGTTCGGGAACTTCGGAGCCAGAAAGGCCACTGTTCCCATCAGGCTGCAGAAGCTGGAGTGCGGGGTTCACATGGGGCACCCCGAAGTCGCACTAGCCCTCACGTTACCTGGCAGACACCATAGTCCTGGACACTGAGGCTAAAGGGGTGACGCATCCCAGGTGCCTGTGATTCCGCAGCCAGCGAGCCCCGCCCCCCAAGGGTGGAGCATGGGGTGGAGGCAGGCAGGTGATGTCATCATGCGGAATATGGGGGCGGGCCTGGATGACATCACACGACATATGGGCGGGGCTGGTGATGTCATCAAGTGGAACATTGGGACTAGGGGTCGCATAACGTCATCACGCAGGGGTTCGGGGGCCTGGATGATGTCATCCACATGAAGTTTGGGGTCGTGGAGTCAGAGGACATGCAGAGCATTGTGCGGTTGGGTGACATGGATGTGCGAAGCCTGGGGGAGGTTGGATGATGTCACACGTGGAGCATGGGGTGTGGGGCCTGGATGATGTCATCAGGCAGAGCATGGGGGGCTCATGGGGCCTGAGTGATGTCATCCACCAGGAGCATCCGGGGCAGGGGGTGCGGGGTTCTGGATGACATCATCTGTGAGCCCCTGACCCCTGCGTCATGAGGCAGGGGTCCCCCTGGGTCGGGCACTCCAGAAACGGGCTCATGTTTTTGGACCTAGTGTATACGTGTGCGACAGTCACCTTGGTTTCGGGGGGACGTGTTGGGCACCTGCCCCTTCCCACAGCGAGGTTGGTGATTTACAGTGGCCGCAGATAACCTGGGAGTCCAGAGAGGAAAGGCACGGCTTCCTGGTGCTGTCTGAACGAGCCACCCCAGACTGGAGGGGCTTAGAACACAGCACCGCCCGCTCTTGGGCCAGAAGTCTGAAGTCGGGGTGTCCCCAGGGCCCCCGGCGCCCTCTCTCGAAAGGCACGAGCAAGCCCCCTGGCCTGCGGGCAAGCTGGGGGGCCTGGGTTTGCAGACCATCACCCATGTCTGCCCCGGTGCTCGCCGGCCCTCCTGTCCCTGAGTGTCTGTCCTCGCATGGCCTTCCTGTGAGGACACCAGCCACTGGTGGGGTCTCCCTGCTGCACTATGGCCTCATCTTCACCCGTGACACCTGCAAAGACAGCGTTTCCAAATAGGGCCTGTTCTTCCGTTCTGGGTGGATGAGGGTTTTGGGGGATGCTTCTCTGGGGGCACACTGTCCCTGCTGTTGACTCCTGCACCGTGCTCACTAGATGTTGCCCACCTGGCATCCAGCAGCAGCCCGCCATCCGGAAGACTCAGGTGGGCGGCAGGACACACCCCTGCAGGCACCATGACTTGGCACCACCACCTGCCACCTCGCAAGGGCTCAGCTCTGTGTGTGTGCAGAGGGATGGCTTGTCCCTGCAGGGAGCCACAGAAGAAGTGGGGGTTCACCTCTTTATGAGAAAGTTTTCTGAATAAACACACAAACCTGAGGAATTTGCATAAGAAGGCAAAAACACGTTTTCGTCTCCCAGTTAATCTTGAGACATAAAAATGGAAATCACTGTTTCTGAAATTAGATGAAGCAAACAAAAACCTATTAAAGTGGGAACATCCACATACAGATTTCATCCGTTGGACCAGATGCACAGAGGAGCATTTGAGATCCCCGCCTGAGGCGCGAGGCTT